GTGACACACCATAAGACAGTGAGATGGTGCAACTGGACACTACGTCATGGACTCACGGATGTTGTAGCCCAGGGTCCATAAAGTGCATCAGCGTGGTCCTTGGGAGGTGACCAGCACAGCCCAGAGGAAAGCTCCCACCAGGGTGAGGCAGCATCACTCGAGCGCCACCAGGGGGCGCTGCGGCCTAGTCCTTCCTGCCTTGGGATGGGCCCCTGGGCCCTGGGTTCTTCTCCCCCACGCATCTGAGCAACCCTCCCTTCAACACTCCCTGCCAATGGCAGCCCAGATCCCGCCCCCGGCAGAGAACTGCTGGGAACCCTCGTGCCCTGAGAATACCTCAGACGATTTTCCAAGGGGGCTCAGGGCTCCTTCCAGTGGTCCGGCATCCTGCTGGCCGCGGTGAGGGCCTCGTTGATTCCTGATGACACTTACAATAAATGCTTCAGTTCCTACACTGTCATATATTTGGTTTATACGTCTTGCTGGTCCAGTCCTCACTTATTTCGGTGACATTAATTTCTCACAACATCTGGGGAAACTGATGTTTGTACTTTGAGATATTTCAATTATTTTTGAATGATTTATTTTTACCTTACGTTTTAGATCCTTCTCATGTCAAGATATAATGTATATAATTATACGTAATTGTCTCTACTGCACCAAATGTACCTTTGGTTACTATACGCACCCAATGCTTGCGTAGGAATCATTCTGTCTGAAGAAAGTTGGGTGTCACAACCACAATGATGAGAATAAAAATCTGTGCCAATTTCATCAATCCAGTTACCGGCAATTTAGAAATGAATATTTCATCATATTTTCATTTCACAGAGTGCTGAAAAGAACTGGGGGCTTTTCTCCACCGCATCCTGGCTGCGTTTTGTCTCCTCTCCCTCCCCTCCGTCCCCTCCCAGTCTCCCCACTTCCCTCCGCTCCTCCTGCCCCACAGGAGAGGGGTCAGGAAACAGGCGGTAAAATGCCCCGGGCGCTCACCCCACTAGGCTAGGTGCCAGGTGACTGTCTTGATCTGATTCTAATTATGAGGCATATTTTTTCTTATTTTGTTGTATCTCTTGTTGGGATAAATCTGATCATTTCAGGGGGTGCTGTGGCCTTTCTCCTCAAAATCTGCAGTGACATGGAAGGTGCTCCGTGTATTTAATGACAATGGAGAGCAAGGGCAGTTGGCCCCCAGGCCTGGCCGCCAGCTCCAGCCTTGGTCCCCCGACTGCTGCACCCGGAGAGTTGACAGGGCTGTGTCCATGGGAGAGTCCTGACCCTTGGCACCGCTGACACCGGCTCTGCGATCCCCTAGTGGTCTCAGTGCCGGAGGGAGGAGGCCCGGTAAGGTCTCCTAGGGAGGCAGGACGGGATTTCACTGGAGAGGTCGGAAACAGTTCGGAAGGACGCGTTTAGGTTCGGGAAATACAAGACCATTGGGGCAGGAGGGCGGGACCTCGCACGGGTCGCCCACCATTCCGATCCCAGCTCCCAGGGGAAGAAATCAGGACTGAGGTCACCTCAGCCCCCTCGCTGTCAGGTGGCTGTGCAGTCAGGGGTCTGTGTGAGGTCACAGCATCTGCCTCATTCCAGACCTCCCCCCAGGGCACACCAGGGTGGCACCCAATCAGGAAGACAGAGGAAGCTGATTTGCATGAAGCACCTTTACATCCTCAAAGGTCTGAGAGGCATGAAAAGGCCCCAAGGTCACCACCCCCAGCCCAGGAGACAGAGGAGGCCGCGTCCTGCAAGGGTCCCCACCATGGCCTGGACGGTGCTTCTGCTCGGGCTCCTCGCTCACAGCTCAGGTCCGACGAGGGGACTCTGCATCCTTGGGGGACACAGAAAAGCAGCACCTCAGGGTGACCTTTTCTATCAAAACAAAACCTGTGTCTTTCCTGTTTATTTCAGGGGTGGATTCCCAGACCGTGGTGACCCAGGAGCCATCACTCTCAGTGCCTTCAGGAGGGACGGTCACACTCACCTGTGGCCTTGGCTCTGGCTCAGTCACTACTAGTAACTACCCCGACTGGTTCCAGCAGACCCCAGGCAAGGCTCCCCGCCTGCTCATCTACAGCACAAACAGCAGGCCCTCTGGGGTCCCTGAGCGCTTCTCCGGGTCCATCTCTGGGAACAAGGCCGCCCTCACCATCTCGGGGGCCCAGCCTGAGGACGAGGCCGACTATTACTGTTCTCTGTATACGGGTAGTGGTACTTACACAGTGATGGGAACCCACGGGGAAGTGCAACCAAAACCTCTTCATGTGCTCAGAAGGGCTCAGCTCTAGTGACCCAAGGAAACAGACAGGGTGGGAATGGTCAACACACCAAGGGGAGGGGCCCCATGGCCTCATCGCCATGTCCGGTGGCTCCATGTCACAGGCCTCCTCCAGTCGCCCCCAGGGTGTGCCCGTCTCTCCCATGTGACACTGGCACAATGGGCTTCCCTTCGTCCCCTCCCTAGAATAGTGATGGGTGAAGGCTCAGCTGCAAACACGTTAACCATCAGGGAGACTCAGAGCCCCCACTGCTCGCTGTGAGACTGTCTGTGTTCCAGGGGCTCTAATAAGATACACGCTCATCTATGGATTTCAGCCTGGGACCCCAGGAATGTTATATTTGGCATGTAATGACAGTGTTACTGGGAGGTTGCAGGTAATGTCGATCCCCTGAGGAGGCCTCCTGAGTCAGGACTGTGTGTCTGTGCGCAAATCCTGAGTTTTAACACGCTCTCTCCTGATGGACTTTAGGAACACTGAACGGTGAAATATACCTCTAGTCTTATTATTATAAAATTATTCCTGAACACTTCTGCTTAAAATTAATCACGTTAACATTCCATTACACAATCTCTCCTCCATCAACTTTCATCAATCCAGGAACATGCAAAACAGATTTCAAGTCTCGGGCCATGGCTGAGAAGTGTGACTTCATTTCTTTTTTACCCTTGTTTTTAAATGAACAAGTGCAACCCTAGGCTGAGAGGATTCCCGTGGCTTCTGTGAATGTTTTGCTCTGAGAGGACATCTGTTTAGAAGTGGCTTCCAGAAACAGGCCGACCGCCCCTGGGCCGACTCCCTGGGGCAGGGACCGGTGAGGGGCTGGGGGCAGCGACCCTACCCCGGCCTCCCTGAGGCGTCCGGCCCTGGGCAGTGAGCAGGGGAAGCAGAGAGTCAAATTTTCCTTTGTCCGCTTTTCTCAACTTTGTTAAAAAATCTTCTTAAAAAACTTTTCCTTCAAGGCCACACAAAATAAATTTAAAAGAAAAAAGCTTTATTTCTAGTGTATTGGAAACATATGTATGTACCTGTGTGCGCTTGTTTTCTGTAATGTGTACTGCAGTATTGGATTCCTGGTTTGGTTTTAGGAGCAGAAAAAGGATCTATTTGGAATTTTATGAAATTTATCTCAAACCTGCAGTTGAGTGAATATTATTTTACCAAAGTTAGACTCCTCGTTTTTAAAGTTAACCCTAGTTTTGTAAGGTTGTAATGTTTGAATTAATGTGGGTGAAAGTCATGGAAAATTTTCTATACTAACTTCTTTTCTGAAAGTACAAAATTATTACAGAATGAAAAGTCTGGTGTCACTCACCCAGGAACCAGCACAAGCCCTCTTCGCTCCTCGGAGGGGCCAGCCCGCGGCCCATCCCTCCCCCGTGCTGTGCGAGGCGCCAGAGACGAGGGTCAGCCTTTCCCACACAAGCCTTGGCCGCGGGCTCGGCATTCAGTGTCATCCACTCTGAAGAGGAAAATACAAGAAAATGTGGATCACATTTACCAGCTACTTATTTAGGTATACATAATCTCTGCAGAACCAGAATAGCAGTCTCATTCATTGAATGGCTGAAATAAACCACCAAGATTGTATTCCAGGAGAATTTCAGGTCTCAGTCCATATGAAGAGTCCCATTGTTCCCAGAATCCCTTTGAAGTAAAAACTCCTGGATGGGCTGACAGTGTGACTCCACCTGGAAGGGAATCTGCCACTCTGACTCCTGTGCCCACCCACTACACACAAAGACTTCCGGCTCCTCCCTTGACTTTATCTGTCTCTTCCTCTGCTTTAAGATTAAAGACACAGTCCTTTCCCAGCAAGTAGTCTCACAGGTTAGGAGATACAGCAGATAGTCCAGGGCGTTGGGGAGGGGGAGGGCACAAAGGAAACTCAAGTGGCCTTTTCCCTGCCCAGGGCGCACCTTGCGTGTGACTTCCCTTAATGAACTCCTAATCAAATCATGGAGTCGACACTGTCCTTCTCTGGTCTCTTGGGCCAAGGAAACTTTACCTGCCGCTGGTCCTAATACAATCAAAGAAAAATTAGCGTTAAATTTGTTAAAAGAAGGAGGCGGACTTCCTGCACACTCAAACTGGAGGAGCTCAGGAGTTTGGAGTCCTCAGGTCCTCATGACCTCCCTGCAGACAGAGCACGTAATACAGAGACATCGAGATTTGAAATAGCTAAGACACAGACAGAATGATAGATAGATAGATAGAGAGATAGATAGATAGATAGATAGAGGCTCCTAGAAAGCCGTTTCTCCTGAGACAAAGAACCTGGGAATCAGATGTCTAAGCAGAGAAAATCTTACCCACCTCCGGGCCTCCTTACCCACATCCACATCCTCTGCCTCCCCTGCTGCCTCCTTCCCAGGCCAGGTTTCCCAGGTGGTGGCATCTCTGCCGTGCAAATGGCCTGAGGAGGCCACACTGTCTGCAGGTCCCAAGACACCATGCTCACGTTCCCCCGTTAGGTTTGTAGAAATCTGCTGGGTGTATCCTGCTCCTAACTCACTACTTACTTGCCTCCCTGTTGTACCAGAGCAGTCTGTCTGCAGGATGGAGCAGAGCAGCCTGGGGCACAGAGAAGGAGGAGACATGCGTGGTGCCCACATCCCTCAGGGATCCTCGGAACAGAGTGTCACAGGGGTGCGGAGCACAGCACAGGGAATATGGACAGTAGTGCAGCCACAGCTACGTATGGGGCCCCAGGGGAACTGGAAATATCACAAGAAACAGATAGGAAAGGATATGATGGTCCGACCACTACGCCGTGCACCTGAAATCATACAAAATAAAATTGAAAGTTACTTGATGAGGGCTAGTGAAGGATGGAGAATACTAAACGAGGGTCTCTAAATCCCCTAATGGAGAAAGAACCTCTAAACAGTGGGGGGGGGGGGATTCTAAATAATGTTCTTTTTATCTCAATTCTTGTACGGAAAAGAAATACAAAAAGAGACAATAATGATCTTAAATAGCGCAAGAGTTAAAAAAAAAAAAAGTATTGTCAGCATTACAGTCAAGGTTCAACGAGAAATTACACAAGAGCCCAAGACGTTTGTCCCCTGACAGGGTTGTGTCCTCAGGGCAAAGGCCGGAACAAAAAGCCAAGGCCTGTCCCTGGGGAGGGGAACCTAACAGGAAACCCTCGTGACAAGAAGAGTAGCAAAGACAGCGACCAAATATATCAACATGTAAGGGCCACCCGAATGGACTTATGACAAGCTATGAGCTAACGGGGCTCTCTGAGGATCTTTAAGAAGTCATAATTGACTCAGAATGGTCATGTACCAGGAATAAACCCTAGGGCCAGGCAGAAGGCAGCTCAACTCTCAAGTTATCCTACAGCATCTGGGAACACAGCATTCCATGTAGCTGCCTGGACATCATTAATAATGGAAAAAGTTAATGGCTCGACCCAGAGTTACAGAGACTGCCTGCTCCTTCTCCTGTCCTGGTAGTGACATGAGAAAGACCCAAAGGCAAAAACCAGAGCCCTTCCTAGAGTTGGGGGTGTGAGGTGAGCTGGAACATGTGCCTTCCCTGACCAGCAGGGGGCGATGGTGGACTGGGCCTGAGACTCAGGGCTCTGGGAAAGGCAGGCTGGGCAAAAAACTCCCCTGGTCCTTGCACAATGGGGCAGACAGTGTCTCCACTGAAGTGTGAGGGTCCTGTGCTGGCCCCCAGGAGCACTCAGCTGTGACTCTCACACAAGTCTCATGCCTCACTCTCCTCCCCTCACCTAATCATTCCCCGTGCCTGATTCAAGAGAAAGGAAAACGAATAATTTCACAACACAAATAAAGTTGCGTGATAAATATGTGCCCTACACTTCTCCCTGGGCGTAGGGTAGGAGATGCCTAGGCAGGGAGAGTCTCGACGTCAACAATGAGGCCTCGGCCAGCAGACTCTGGGGCTTCTCCGCCATGGGCTGGGTTCTCCTGTCACATCCTCACTCATCGCACAAGTGTTTGCTCCGGTCACATCCATGTCTTAAAGGGAACAATTGTCCTTGACACACAGGGAGGATTTGGGCTGAGGCTGGCAGCCTCTGAATGACGACGGACCTGGCATTCTGCGGGGAGCAGATGTGAGGAGGCCGCCGCCAGCCCGCGGCCCTGTGTGTTCTCTCTGACAAAGCTCCCCCGGGGCCCACCCGGCTCCCAAACGCCCGCCTCCAGACATGCGTGGTACTCAGGACCCACCGGGGCGCTGCGCTGTGGCCCTCATGTGTGGGAGCGGCTCCTGGGCCCTGGGCGCGTCTCCCATACCCAGCCTATCAGTCCCTCCACCCCACACGGGCTCCCAGTCCCCACCCAGATCTGCTCCACGGGAAACATTTCTATGACCCGTGGGCCCGGAGAAGCTGAGGCAGGCTGTATGGGTGGCCACCTCAGGGGTCCCCGCTGCTAATATGGCTCCCCACGTGTCCCTGAGGGAGTACACGCCGCCGGCGCAGTGGTCCCTCATCTGCCATCAGGCCAGCGGCTGGTCCACTCCTCTGTCAGTTCTCATTTCTTTCAACCTTTTATACTGACTTATGGAAACACACTTTCAGCTTTCTCGTTCTTTCTTCTTCTTGAGTGTTAATATTCCTCATCTCAAATTTGAGAGATATTCAGTATCTACATTTCTGTACACTCTGTTACATGTTTGTATGATAGAAAAATGTTTACTATGAATCTTTCTGTGACATGAAATCTCAAACACGTATGAGAAGAAAAAATTAATCACATGAGTTATAAAACATAGATGATTTGCTAGTGCTTCCAAAATAAATACCAAACACCACAGTTTTATTTCCCACTCTGAGGAACACCCTGTGTGTGTGTTTACCTTCCCCGATTCCGGGAGCCATTTCATGTCCCTGCTCATCCCCTTACACCCCAACCCTGGCCCCCCTTCCCATTCCTTAGCCCCACGGCAGGATGAGGAGGGAAGGGGAGACTTAAAATCTTCTTTCATGTTCACACCAATGGAGTCACATGCAGTGTTGTTCTCATTTCTGATACCGCGATACATGTTCCCACCTTCTTCTCAGACATTAATAGATATCTCATAAACTCATGGGGACACTTTATACCATAGATAGTGACTGAGAGCAAAGCAGAGCTGCCATCCCTGCCTGACAGGCCGACGTCCCTCTGAGCACCCCCAGCACAGACCCCCCAACACTGCTCTTGGTGGGGGGCGGGTCCAGGCCCGAGTCAGGGCGGCCCCAGTCCCTGCAACACCTCAGACACAGTCTGTGACATCCCAGGTGACTCGCTGCTGAGGGAGGAGCGACTGCTAAGATCCTGTGAGGAAGACAAGGAAGGGTGATTCTGAGGAAGGAAGAAACGTTCCCAGGGATGGGGTTGGATGTGGGATGACGTAGAACAGGTCGCGGGGGCCAGGGGTTGGAGAACACAGCGTTTCATCTTTGAACCCTCGGACTCTCCAGAGAGAAATCTAGGATTAAGGTCACCAGGGACGTGGGGGAAAGGATTTGTGACACACGTCCATCCTCCTCACTCGACATCTCAGTCACTGTGCAGCCTGGCCAATGTGAGATGCCAGCATCTGTCACTTTGAAGATCTCCCCCAGGGCACATCAGGGGGACACAGGGCAGCAAGAGAGGAAGCTGATTTGCATGAAGCAGCTCCTCCTTCTCTCGGGCCTGGGAAGCATGAAAAGGCCCCAAGGTCACCACCCCCAGCCCAGGAGACAGAGGAGGCCGCGTCCTGGGAGCGTCCCCACCATGGCCTGGACGGTGCTTCTGCTCGGGCTCCTCGCCCACAGCTCAGGTCAGACGAGGGGACTCTGCATCCTTGGGGGACACAGAAAACAAGCATCTCAGTGTGACCTGTCGCTCATAACAAAACCTGTGTCTTTCCTGTTTATTTCAGGTGTGGATTCCCAGACCGTGGTGACCCAGGAGCCGTCACTCTCAGTGTCTTCAGGAGGGACGGTCACACTCACCTGTGGCCTTAGCTCTGGCTCAGTCACTAGTAGTTACTACCCCAGCTGGTTCCAGCAGACCCCAGGCAAGGCTCCCCGCACGCTCATCTACAGCACAAACAGCAGGCCCTCTGGGGTCCCTGAGCGCTTCTCGGGGTCCATCTCTGGGAACAAGGCCGCCCTCACCATCTCGGGGGCCCAGCCTGAGGACGAGGCCGACTATTACTGTGCTCTGTATACGGGTAGTTATACTTACACAGTGATGGGAACCCACGGGGAAGTGCAACCAAAACCTCTTCATGTGCTCAGAAGGGCTCAGCTCTAGTGACCCAAGGAAACAGACAGGGTGGGAATGGTCAACACACCAAGGGGAGGGGCCCCATGGCCTCATCGCCATGTCCGGTGGCTCCATGTCACAGGCCTCCTCCAGTCGCCCCCAGGGTGTGCCCATCTCTCCCATGTGACGCTGGCACATGGGCTTCCCCTCATCCCCTCTCCCTAGAATAGTGACGGATGAAGGCTCAGCTGCAAACACATTACCCATCAGGGAGACTCAGAGCCCCCACTGCCCGCTGTGAGACTGTCTGTGTTCCAGGGGCTCTAACAAGATACACGCTCATCTATGGATTTCAGCCTGGGACCCCAGGAATGTTATATTTGGCATGTAATGGCAGTGTTACTGGGAGGTTGCAGGTAAAGCCGTTCCCCTGAGGAGGCCTCCTGAGTCAGGACTGTGTTTGTGCACAAAACCTGAGTTTTAACACTCTCTCTCCTGAAGGACTTTAGGAACAGTAAAGGGTGAAATACACCTCTACGTCTATTATTATAAAATTATTCCTGAACACTTCTGCTTAAAATGTAATCAGGTTAACATTCCAGGGTGCAATTTCTCTTATATCAACACTCATAAGTCGAGAAACATTAGAATCAGCTTAAAACCTCAGGCCATCGCTGAAAACTAATGATTTCTTTTTTCCCTTGTTTTTAAATTGAAAACTGCAACCCCAGGTTGAGCGGATTCCCATGGCTTCTGTGAATGTTTGTGCTCTGAGAAGACAGCTGTTTAGCTGTGGCTCCAGGAACACGCCGACCGCCCCCGGGCCGACACCCGGGGGCAGGGGCCTGCGAGGGGCTGGGGCCAGTTTCCCTCCCCGGCCTCCCTGAGGCGTCTGGCCCTGGGCTGAGAGCTGGGGAAGCAGAGAGTGAAACTGTCCTTTTCTTACACTTTTCTCATCTTTGGTAAAAAATCTTCTTACACAACCTTTCCTTCTAGCCCCACACACAATACATTTAAAAGAAAAAAGCATTGTGTCTAGTATGTGAGAAATATATATGTTTGTGTGTGCTTGTTTTCTATAATGTTTATTGCATTGTAGGATTTGTGGTTGCTTTTATGAAGAGAAAAAGGATATATTGTGAATTTGATGAAATTTATCTCAAACCTGCAGTTGAATGAATTTTATTTACCAAAGTTAGCTTCTGTGTTTTTACAATTGAGCCTAGTTTGCAAGGTTGATATGTTTGAATTAATGTGAGTGAAAGTCATGGGAAAGCTTTCTATACTAAGTTCTTTTCTGAAAGTATGAAATTATTCTAAATTTAAAAGTTTGGTGTCACTCACACAGCAATGAACACACTCGCTCTCCTTCCTGGGAGGGGGAGCCCCCGCCGACCCCCCTGCGCTGCGAGGCACCGGAGCAGCCGGTCGCCTTTCACACGCAGCCCCCGTCACGCGCTCTCTTTCAGGTTCATGCACACGGATGAAAAAAATACATAAAAATATGAATCACGTTCACCAGCCTCCTATTTATGTAGAAATAATCTCTGCAGAACCAGATAAGCACACTCTCTCATTATGCCAATAGCTGAAATAAACCACATGATTCTATTCCACAAGAATGTCAGGTCTGAGTCCATATGAAGAGTCCCATTATTCCCAGAATCCCTTTCAAGTAAAAACTCCTGGGTCAGCCGACAATGTGACTCCACCTAAAAGGGAATCCGCCATTCTGAGCCCTGTCCCCACCCAGTCTGCACAAAGACTGCTGCTCCGTTTAGTTTCTGTGTCTCTGCCCAGCTCTGGTGACAGAGCCTCGGGGCAACTGGGGGCCCCCTACCCTTAGATTAAGACACATTCCTGTCCCAGCAAAGAGGCTCGTTGGTTAGGAGATGCAGCAGATAGTCCGGAGGGTTGGGGAGGGGGAACCCACCTTGTGACTGATTTCCCTTAGGAACCCTAATGTGATGATGGAGTCGTGAGTGTCCTTCTCTGGTCTCTTGGACCAAGAAAGCTTTACCTACCACTGGTCCTAATTCCATCAAAGCATAATGAGCATTAAATTTGTTAAAAGAAGGAGGTGGACTTCCTACACACTCAAACTGGAGGCGCGCAGGAGTGTGGAGTCCTCCGGTCCTCATTACCTCCCCGCAGACAGAGCCGGTAACGCAGAGGCCTCAGGGTTTGAAACAACTAAAGATAGATAGATAGATAGATAGATAGATAGATAGATAGATAGATAGATAGATAGATAGATAGAAGCTCCTAGAAAACACTTTCTCTAGACCAAGAACCTGGGCATTAGATGTCTAACCAGAGAAAATCTTTTGGACTAGACCCGCCCCCCGTCCTCCCTGCGCTGCACCCCCATCAAGTCCTTTCTGCTATAAGGAGCAGGACACTGGTCTCCCTTCTCCCCCAGGACAAGCTGGCAGGGCCCCACTGCCCACCTGGGGCAGCGCCAGTGATTCAGGGAAAAGCTGACTCCGTCCGGGAGTCTCCAGGAGTCTTAGCCGGGTCGGGCCGGGGAGGCTGGTCAGCGCTCCAGTCCTCCCGTCCGGGACGCTGGCTGCCCAGTGGGGACCTGCACTGCAACCTCGCCTTCAGCAATGAGACCGATTGACGGGGTCCACGGAGAGCTAGTCTGCGATCCTGTGTCCTAGGTGGTAACTGTGGGATCCAGGGAGGAGCTAAGCCTGGAACCCCTGAGGCACTGAGGGCTCTGGGTAAAGGGTGGGAGGCAGGGGAGTTGGCCATGCAGGTGCCCTCATGCCCTTTGCTTTCAGTGATGCCGTTGAAACCCAGAGGGGAGCTGGGCACCCAGCCCCCTGAGCACAGCAACTCCCCTCAGCCCTGTGCTTCCCTCCCTGGCTCAGCGGGGCCCAGCAGTGGCCTCGTCTCACTCCCTAACTTGATGGGAACCAGCTGGTGACAATCACTGCCCCCCTGTCCCCAGGAAGGAGTCAGAATCACCAGGCAAGGGAACCAGAGCTCCGCCCTCGATGGAGCCCGTGGGAGCCAAACATACACCCCTGACCTCCGGCTGCAGCCCAGCAGGAAGGGGCCTGGTTAAGACAGGGAAAATGGGACACAGGGGCTCCTAATGTGGTCCCCAAATGTCCAGGGTCCAGTAAAAAGTAACACTTGTATATCGGAACCAGGGAAAAGAAAACTTGAAGAAACCAAGAAATTAACTGAAACCAAAGCAGAGAAGACTGAGATCATTAAATTCTCGGAAGGATGTTTAAGGCACAGTCATAAAATCCATGTAACAAGCAACTACAGACATTTCTCGGAGAAATGAAAAAAGGAGAGAAACTCAAACACAAATAGATGTGATAAAAGACACCGAATGAAAAAGACACCGAATGGAAGTGAAGAGCAAATAAATACCACAGATGAAATTTTAGAAACCTATGGTTAGTTCAAGAATACAAAAGGTCTATTGATTCTTTTCTTTGTTCATATGTGTTTATAGATTGATTGGTTGATTGTTAAAATGAAAGCAGGGCTACCATTCCTACTGCAGACACCTACCAGCCCAAACAGTCTGTGGAGGACGTCACCAGGGGGCGCTGTGCCTCTTCTCACTGCTGCAAGGACTGACACTCACCCACAGGGTTCTAATTCAATGGGCACCTTGTCCCGCTTCATGGCCTGAGTTAGCGGTGACAGCAGGTGCTTCCTCTCAAGGCACAGGCTCAGAGCTCCCAACCAACCCAGCCTCCTCCTGAGAGGAGAACTATAACCTGGGCCCAGGATCCAGAATTCGATGGTCCTGTGGGCTCACTCCAGAAAATAGCCTTTGGAGGGGTCCCTCTGCCTTTATTCTCCATTCCTGACATGCGTCTGTTTTTACATCAGGGTCCGTCTCTCAGGCTGTGATGACTCGGGAGCCCTCACTGACTGTTTTCCCTGGAGGGACAGTCACTCTCCCCTGTGGCTCCAGCCCAGGAGCCGAACCAGCAATAACTATCGACACTGATTCCAGCAGAGGCCTGACCAAGAACCCAGGACACCGACTTATACCACAGACAATACACTCTCCTGGACCCCAGCCCGGTTCTCAGGCTCCATCCACGGGGACAAAGCTGCCCTGACCCTTCGGGGGCCCAGCCCAAGGACCAGTCCGTGCGCTACTGCTGGCTGGGGGACAGCGGGGCACGGCCCAAGGAGACACCCGGACGGGGACCAGACAGAACCCGGGCTGCACCGAGTGGGCCAACTCACACGCCCCCTGTGATGTTGGTGTTAAGTAACCGGGCTCATAGGGAGAGTAAGGGAGGCGTCCGAATGGATTCCAATGCTGTTTGAACCCTAAAGTGGAAGGGATCTATGAGCAGCCAGGTGGTCCACATAAAGCACAATGCACTCCCTTTATTTTACACCAGAAGAATAAAGTCAATCAAGCACAAAGCTGGTTTTCTGGAAAGATCAGTAAACTCCTGGCCAGGCTGACCCAGATTAATGGAGAGAAGGCAGAATGATCAACAGCAGAAATTGCAGAGGGGACATCAGCGCCGATCCCTCAGATATTTAAAGGGAAATAAGGAGGTACTACGTACAATCCAATGGCCATAAATGGGACAACTGAGGTGTAATGTATTAAATCCTCAAAAGTGCAAACTAGAAGAACAAACGCTAAACTGGCTGGAACTTTGATTGAGATCTCGCTGAATACACAGAGGAAGCTGGTCGTCATGGATACCTTAGCAACGCTGCGTCTTTCAGCCCATTACACTCACCTGTCTCCCCTTGCTACCTCTTTGATTTCTTTGATCAGTACTTGTAGATTTCAGCATATGATTCTTGCACATATTTTTGTTAGATTTATGTCTAAGGCCTTCATTTTGGTTGTATTAACAAAGATATTTATTTCTTTACATTTTCTATTACCGACACCAAATTGTTTATTGTCATATGGGTTTTGTAGTTATCAACAACGTAACAGCAAGATTTTATATATATACTTTGTATGATGTAATCGCATGAATCTCATATAAATTCTAAGAATTCTTGCTCCAGATCTGAAGGATTTTTGGGGGAAGCATGTCCCCTTCTAATGCTGATAGGTACTTTTTATTTCTTTCCTGTGCCTTATATCACTAGCCACACTCCCAATGTTGAGTAGGACAGTTGAGAAGGCACATCCTTTCAACTCATTCTCCACCTCAGGGGAAAACACTCAGCGTCTCACCTTAATGCAAGATGCCACCTGTAAGATTAAACGATATCCTTTATTTTATTGAGGAAGTTCCCTTTATTTCTGTGAACTGTGACATTTTTATCATAAATGGATGTTGAATTTTCTAAATTTTTTAATCTAGTGAGATGACCATATGTTTACAAAATGATCTATTAGTCTCATGAATTAGCTGATTTGTTTTTGAATAGTAAATATTATACTGCTCAATAAATGCCAGTTTCTTCGGATGTGTTCAGTTTCATATTATTTCTGTATTTCACTTGGGAATGTTTTGCTTAGAATTTTAGTGTGTATGTTCCTGAAAGGCATTGGTCAGTAGCTTCCTTCACACAATGTCTTTGTCTGCTGCTGTTATTAAACGCTGACTGGGAGACTGTCTCCTCCTTCATTGTCTGCGAGGCATTTTGTAGAATTCCAATCCCCTCTTAAAAAGTCTGGTTGAATTCACCAATAAAACCATCTTAGCATGCAGTTTCCATTTCTGGAAACTTTTGAACTCCAAACTCAGTTTCCTTAATAACGATAAGAATAATGAGATTATCAATTTTTAAGACAGTTTTGAGAATTGTAATATTTACCCTGGGTAAGGAAGTTGTTAATATTAGGGGGAGACTGGGTGAAGGACATAGGCACTTTCTTTGCCACATTTCTGTACCTCTAAAATTATTCTTAAAAAAATTGAAATAAACCTATCTCATTTCCTTCCCCGGACCTCGTTCGTTAACCCCAGTGCTGCACGGGACGCGCCCCGTAGGGACTGTGGGGGCCCCAGGGCTGGTCTTGTCCGTGGGGAGAGGGTGGTCATGCCGGTTTGCAGGGTGTGTTCAGCAATCGGCCTCCATGTGGCTAAAAATAATCTCATTCGTGTGCCGTTGACCTCAACAGGATGTGTAAAAAAATGAACTTACACTCAGAATCCCAGCCTGCTCTGAAGCAGCGATAAGGGCCAACAGGCAGAGATCATGAAATATACAGACACACACTGATGCTGACTCTGGCCCTGACACTGTGCCAAAGGAAACCAGAAGGATGACAGCTCAGTATTGTCAAGGGGTGCGGGGTGGAGAGATGAAGCAAAAATGAAAAAAAAATAGAAGTCAGGGACACCAGGAAGAGTGAGGTGACTGCGGGGGCAGGTGGGGTGGAGGGAGAAGAGGGTGTAGGGTGGATCAATGGTACTGGAAAAAGTGCAATAAAATGAAATTTTGAAGTAGGAGGACTTGGAGGGTATTCAGGGCTTTAGCCCAGGACAAGCTGTCACTGCTCCGTGTGCCCACACTCGGAAGTTCCAGGGGACCCTAGAGATTAGGAGAAAGAGACGAAATGCAAGGTGCCCTCGTGCTCTGGCTCTGGGGATGAGGAAACCGGGGGTCCCTGTCCTGAGGCTCTTCTCCCAGCAGCGGCTCTGCCCAGGACACGCAGTAGCTCTCCAGGTGATTCTTCAATATGTTGATCCCTCAGAATGGGTGACGAGAGGGCTCAGGGTTATTTTCTGGTGAGGTTCATTTTTAAGAACATAATGAAGAAGGACCAGGGCCAAGGCCGGTGTGTCCCCAGAAGGTCGGGAATGGGTCACTCTCTTGCTCCTAAGTGGCCCTGGTGAGGGAAGATAAAACCTGGTGACCCATTTGCTGGCTGTAATTGCTCAAAACGTTTCACCTTGCGTAATGATGTTGTCTCAGTTTCCCTTATTACACTTGTCAAGCAATTTCCCAGCTCCTTGCCATCCTCCCTCAGCACCAACCACCACGCGACACCACCACGGCCGGTGACCCACACCTGCGATGCGTACACGCCTCACCCGTGACCATGACGTGCTGCTCTGTCTGGAACGGGGACACCGTCGGATCCCAGGACCAGGAGGGCGCGTGGGAGAGGCCCCCTTTCCATCACTGCAGGGGAAGCTCCTGGGGCGTCTCTGCCTCCACTTCCCACAATGCTGGTCTCTCTGGATTTGCAGGTTGTTGCAGGTAGTGAGAAGTATTTATTCCAGGGGACACAACAAAAATTCTCACATTCCCCAGGTCAGCTCCACTGGGTCCCTGGACATTTATCATAACAAGAGAACCACATGGCCCATGAAATTCTAATACCCAGCAGCCCTTCCCATCCTGCAGAAATCACAGTGGGACAAGTCTTGAAAGAAACGAAGGTGGGTCTGTGCGCTCTGCACCCACCGTGGAGATGCTTCTGCAAATGGAACTGAGGGCAAGGAAGCCACGTGTGAGGAGGAGAGAATTTATGTCACAGCCAGGACTTTATTCCACTCCATACGTCTTTCCATGGCCCTCCAAGCAGCAACACGTGGACCCAGTGTCCTTCCTTCACTTTTCAAGAAGTACAACAATTAAATTCTCTAAAACATTGAGAAAATGAAAACAAAAGTCAACTGATGTGACACTTGTTGGTTACTGCTTTAACGCACAAGAGTTTGGGAACATTAAAATGTATGCATATACTAAAGAGTATATATATGTAATGTATACATGACTAGGACAATCCTGAAAACTAATATGTCAGAATATTCAGAATACTACAAAGGACAATAGAATCACTTCCAGAAATAAAAGAGTACATATGCTATACACTGGTGAATGTGAAGCACACCAATGTATCAGTTTTCACAAATCACTGGATCTTCTCTGATTCCTATCAAAATTGTAAACCTTTGCCCTGATTGAATTTCCACCGAGCTGAATTTCTGGAAAATTCCCTTCACAATAGCTCAACTGCCCTCCTCTTCTGTGGCACTTGACTTCATGAGATACAAGGGTTGTTAACATTTTCTAAAAATCATTCTGGGGCCGCTCACATCCTAAATAGTTACGTGTACACACTTTTGCTTCCCATACACCAGATCACTTTCTGGAGGTGAAAAGAAATGGGGTTTTTACGCATCACCTGATTGGTCCACGATATCTAAACATCAGACCCTGGATGTGGGAATACAGACCCTCACCTGGAGAGCTGCAGACACCAGCTGGGCACTCAGGACTGCGGGCCATGAGCAGCAGGGGGCGCTGGTGCACCACCCTGGAGCCACTACACAGTTGCTCAGTGAGGATCATTCACTGAAAGGATCTGGGGCTGGGGCTGGGCACTGATGAAGACTCTGCAGCTGTGTCCTGTTGAACAGAGAAGAGTCCCCTGAGCAGGGACCTTTGAGGGGCCTCAGCAGGTGCTTCCCCACAGGACTCTCCCCAGGGAGGAGGCCAGCCTCCACCCCCCAACCCCCGCCCCGCATGTCAGGGGTTTGAGCTGACTTTCAGAACCAGGGAGCAGAAAGAGGCTGGGCAGCCTCTGGATGGACACACATTTGCAAGGTCAGCCCCCACCCTGGCAGAGGGTGGGGAAGAAAAGGAAGCCTGGGCAGCCCAGCCCCACTCTGGCTCAGGGGCTGCGGGCACCGTGGCCTGGACCCCTCTCACCTCAAGCTCCTCCTTTACTGCACAGCTAGGGACAGGCTCAGGGTCCCACGACAGCCACTGAGCTTGCGTCTTTCTTTACTTGCCCAGAGCCTTGAGAAACTTTACCCTGAGGACCTGCTCCATCAGCCACGAGAGTCTGTGTTCACAGCTTCCCTCTCCCAGCCTCTGCTGACTCACCACCTCCCTCTCTGCATTTCTGGGAACATCATTGACATTCACACAGACTCTGAAAGGAGAGCCTAACGGTGGCAGCCAGGACACAGGCCGGTACCAGCAGAAGTCAGGGGGCCCTTCCCGCATCTCCTGTCCTACTGCTCAGGCTCAGGTGAGCGCCCGGGCTCCGGGCTCCCCAGTGTCCTCGGCGTCCATGAGGCCTCGGCCGGCGCAGGGCTGCTGCTCCTCTCTGGGCTGCCGCTGAGGGCCAGGCTGGCCCGTCCTGCTGGAAACCTTGCAGCAGCCCCGCCGCTTGCACAGCTCAGGAGTCACAGGTCAGTGAGACGGAGCCCCCCAGGCTCCCCCTGCCAGGGCACCTCCGCCCTGCTCGGCCCGGGGTCAAGTCCACTCAGGGCTGACACCTGTTGTCACTTCCCAGAAGGACATGAGTTCCCTCCTAACAGCACACCTGACCTTTCCCTCATCTCCCCTTTACACTCACCGTGGCCCCGGTGTCCCACCTGTTCCCGTTCTCAGAGGCAGAGAGCTCTGCTCAGGGAGGACAGTCCCACGGTGGGGACGCTGGAGGTGGGGACAGTGGCCGGTACTGGCCGTGCCCGGCTCTGAGTCCGCGGGGGGCTCAGTGACGCTTCTTCTCTAAATGATTCAGTCAGGTCATTGCGATACAAAAGCAACATGCAGAAATGAACAGCAATGTACACACTAGCAATAAACCATCTATAATTAACTGGAAAACTTAAAAATTAACAGTATATAAAAAAAGTATAATGGCATCAAAAGTAAGAAATACTTAAAGATAAATCTAATAACGGACAGTGCTATAAAATGAGAGGTCCAGTCTATTCCTGAGGTGCACGGCGGACACCGCAGTGCGTGAGCACGTGTCTACTTCAGGGCAGAACGCTCCGTCTCAATCATCCCCAAACTTCCAAGGCTTTTCCCTCGCCAGAGGTTTGGGTGGAAGGATGTCATATAAATCTCAATTCATTTGGGCACGGATCCCATAAACTCAAAACCATATTCCAGAGAGGAACTTGTTTCTCTGTTTTATATTATCCTTAGCACTGAGGAAAAAATTATTTACACTCTAATTTCTTCAACTCACGAGACAATCTGTAGAAAATAAGGCATTACCGAGCTGACAAGAAGGGCAAATGAGAACCCAGAGGGGTAACGAAGAACAGAAGACACCATCCCAGACAACGATGTGTCTCATGGACTGACAGGGACCAAAGCCACAGCCTCTGCAGTGGGGACGGGAGACCTCAAGGAGACCCTCCGCACACCACCAGCAGCAACACAGATAACCTGTAAGAAGGAACAGTGCAGAACTCCTTCCAGCCCTGAAATATCTAGGAACATTCTCTGTGCTACACGTCCTGTATTTAACTCTTTAGAGGTTAAGAGTGATGTGGAAAAATCAGTGTATCTGCCCTAATCCACACAGCAGGGACCTGCATAAAGCACTGTCTCAGTGAGTGACATCAGAAAAGATAAACATGCAAAGTCCTCCCCCCGCCCCAGCAGGAGAGCTGATGGGTGTCAGGGGGACAGCAGGGTGTGGGCTCTGAAGACAGAAGGGGGCGCTGTGGCCTGGTCCTGGGAGGACTCGGTTCTGGGACAGGACGGAAATACTTTACTGACACTTGCCCACAGGGACAAGCAGCGTCCTGTGTGTGACTTGCCATCACCAGGGTCCCCAGGAGCTACACGAGCCCTGAGGTCTGACTCACACCCTTGCTTCATATCTGCCCTTCCCCCTTCAAGGAGCTGTTCCTGCCTGATGTGCGGACAGACAGGGTCAGGGGGACCGTCACACCGCGGGAGAAAGTCCGTCTCAGAAACAGGGCCCACGAGCCTGGCTGCCCACAGGACTAAGGCCACTTGGAGACGGGACAGAATCAGTTCCAACGACTGGGCCTGAGCAGGCAGAGCGCAGGGGCCTCCCCATTGTGACCCAGGTCCCTCAGCTCTTCACCCTCCTCACTCACTGATGTGGGGACAGAAGTAGACTCTCCTCATTCAGTGCCTCAGTCCCTCTGTCCCCACTGGACTGTGTGAGGTGCCAGCATCGGCCTCTTTCAAGGTCTCCCCCAGGGGACATCCGGGGGACACAGGGCAGCAAGAGAGGAAGCTGATTTGCATGAAGCAGCTCCTCCTCCTCATGGGCCTGGGAGGCATGAAAAGGCCCCAAGGTCACCACCCCCAGCCCAGGAGACAGAGGAGGCCGCGTCCTGGGAGCGTCCCCACCATGGCCTGGACGGTGCTTCTGCTCGGGCTCCTCGCCCACAGCTCAGGTCCGACGAGGGGACTCTGCATCCTTGGGGGACGCTGCAAAGCAGGATTTGGATGTGATCGTGTTGCTCATAATAACACTTGTGTCTTTCCTGTTGGTTTTAGGTGTGGATTCCCAGACCGTGGTGACCCAGGAGCCGTCACTCTCAGTGTCTTCAGGAGGGACGGTCACACTCACCTGTGGCCTTAGCTCTGGCTCAGTCACTACTAGTAACTACCCCAACTGGTTCCAGCAGACCCCAGGCAAGGCTCCCCGCATGCTCATCTACAGCACAAACAGCAGGCCCTCTGGGGTCCCTGAGCGCTTCTCCGGGTCCATCTCTGGGAACAAGGCCGCCCTCACCATCTCGGGGGCCCAGCCTGAGGACGAGGCCGACTATTACTGTGCTCTGTATATGGGTAGTGGTACTTACACAGTGATGGGAACCCACGGGGAAGTGCAACCAAAACCTCTTCATGTGCTCAGAAGGGCTCAGCTCTAGTGACCCAAGGAAACAGACAGGGTGGGAATGGTCAACACACCAAGGGGAGGGGCCCCATGGCCCCATCGCCATGTCCGGTGGCTCCATGTCACAGGCCTCCTCCAGTGGCCCCCAGGGTGTGCCCGTCTCTCCCATGTGACACTGGCACATGGGCTTCCCCAAGTCCCCTCTCCCTAGAATAGTGATGGGTGAAGGCTCAGCTGCAAACACATTACCCATCAGGGAGACTCAGAGCCCCCACTGCCCCCTGTGAGACTCTCTGTGTCCAGGAGCTCTAACAAGATACACCCTCATCTATGGATTTCAGCCTGGGACCCCAGGAATGTTTTATTTGGCATGTAATGGCAGTGTTACTGGGAGGTTGCAGGTAATGCCGTTCCCCTGAGGAGGCCTCCTGAGTCAGGACTGTGTGTCTGTGCGCAAATCCTGAGTTTTAACACGCTCTCTCCTGAAGGACTTTAGGAACAGTAAAGGGGAAAATACACCTCTACGTCTATTATTATAAAATTATTCCTAAACACTTCTGCTTAAAATGTAATCAGGTTAACATTCTAGGATGCAATCTCACCTATATCAACATTCATAAACCCAGAAACGTCAGAAGCAGGTTAAAAACCTCAGGCCATAGCTGAAAACTGTGACAATTTCTTTTTTCCCTTCTTTTAAATTGAAAACTGCCACCCCAGGTTGAGCGGATTCCCATGGCTTCTTGAATGTTTATGCTCTGAGAAGACAGCTGTTTAGCTGTGGCTCCAGGAACACGCCGACCGCCCCCGGGCCGACACCTGGGGGCAGGGGCCTTTGAGGGGCTGGGGTCAGTGTCCCTCCCCTACTCCCTGAGGCGTCCGGCCCTGGGCTGAGAGCGGGGGAAGCAGAGAGTGAAACTGTCCTTTTTTTCATTTTCTCAACTTTGTTAAGAAATCTTTTTAAAAAACGTTTCCTTCAAGACAACACAAAATAAATTCAAAACAAAAAAGCATTGTGTCTAGTATGTGAGAAATATATATGTTTGTGTGGGCTTGTTTTCTATAATGTTTATATAGGATTTGCGGTTTGCTTTTACAGAGAAAAAGGATATATTGTGAATTTGATGAAATTTATCTCAAACCTGCCGTTGAATGAATATTATTTACCAAAGTTAGCTCCTGCAATTTTACAATTGGGCTGAGTTTTGCAAGGTTGGTACGTTTGAATTAATGTGGGTTAAAGTCATGGAGCCCCGGCTGGTGTGGCTCAGCGGATAGAGCATTGGTCTGTGACCAAGAGATTGCTGGTTCGATTCCACGTCAGGGCACAGGCCTGAGTTGCAGGCCAGTCCCCAGTTGGGGTGCAAGTGAGAGGCAACTGATTGATGTTTCTCTCCCTGTCTTTGTCCTTCTCTACCCCTCTCTCTATCTCTGTCTTAAAAAAAAAAAAAAAAAAAAAAAAAAAAGGCATGGACAAGTTTTCTATGCTAACTTCTTTTCTGAAAGTATGAAATTATTACAAAATTAAAAGTTTGGTGTCACTCACACAGGAATGTACACACTCTCTCTCACACCTGGGACGGGACCCCCGCCGACCCCCGTGCACTGCGAGGCGCCAGGGCAGCCGGTCACCTTTTACATGCAGCCACGGTCACGTGCTCTGCGTTGAGGTTCATCCACGCTGAAGAGAAAAATACATGAAATCATGAATCACGTTCACCAGCCACTTTTTTATGAATAAATAATCTCTGTCGAACCAGATAAGCACAGTCTCTTTAATCCAATAGCTGAAATAAACCCCAAATATTGTGTTCTACAAGAATATCAGGTTTGAGTCTATATGAAGAGTCCCATTGTTCCCAGAATCCCTTTCAAGTAAAAACTCCTGGGTGGGCTGACAAAGCAACTCCACCAGGAAGGAAATCTGCCATTCTACCCCTGTCCCCACCCAGTACACACAAAGACTCTGCTCCTCCCTTGACTTTATCTGTCTCTGACCAGCTCTGGGGATGCAGCCTCAGGGCAACTGAGGGGCCCCCTACCCTTAGATCAAGACACATTCCTATCCCAGCACAGAGGCTCATTGGTTAGGAGATGATGCAGATAATCCCAGGGGTTGGGGAGGGGGAAGACACAGAGGAAATCCACCTTGTCTTATCCCTGCCCAAGATGCACCTTGTGACTGACTTCCCTTAGGAACCCTAATGTGATGACTGAGTCGTGAGTATCCTTCTCTGGTCCCTTGGGCCCAGAAAATTTACCTACCACTGGTCCTAATACCATCAAAGCATAATGAGCACTAAATTTGTTAAAAGAAGGAGGCGGACTTCCTACACACTCAAACTGGAGGCGCGCAGGAGTTTGGAGTCCTCGGGTCCTCATTACCTCCCTGCAGGCAGAGCAGGTAACGCAGAGGCCTCAGGATTTGAAACAACTAATGATTGAGAGAGAGAGAGAGAGAGAGACATAGATATAGATAAATATAAGCTCCTAGAAAACACTTTGTCTAGACAAAGAACCTGGACAAAGATACCTAACCAGAGAAAACCTTTTGGACTATAACCACCCCTCGCTCCCCCACGTGGTAGAATCCCTGCGCTGCCCCCCCATCCAGTCCTTTCTGCTATAAGGAGCAGGGTGCTGGTTCCCATTCCATTGCAGCACAAGCTGGCAGGGCCCCACTGCCCCCCTGGGACAGCACCAGTGATTCAGGGGAAAGCTGACTCCCTCCCATTAGAGTCTGCAGGAGCCTTAGCCGGGTAGGGCTGGGGAGGCTGGTCAGCGCTCCAGTCCGCCCGTCCATGGCTCTGGCTGCCCTTGGGGACCTGCACTGCAACCTCACCCATCAGGAATGAGACCGAATGAGGGGGTCCAGGGCAGAGGGGGTCTGCCCGCCTGTGTCTCCAACTGGTAACTGTGGGATCCAGGGAAGAAATAAGGCTTGACCCCTGAGGCACTGAGGGCTCTGGGTAAAGGGTGGGAGGCAAGGGAGTTGGCCATGCAGGTGCCCCCACCCCCTTGTTGTCAGTGACGCCCTAGGGACCCAGAGGGGAGCTGGGCACCCAGCCCACTGAGCTCAGCAACTCCCCTCAGCCCTGTGCTTCCCTCCCTGGCTCAGCGGGGCCCAGCAGTGGCCTCGTCTCACTCCCTAACTTGAAGGGAACCAGCTGGTGACAATCACTGCCCCCCTGTCCCCAGGAAGGAGTCAGAAGCACACACCATGGGAACCAGAGCTCCACCCTTGATGGAGCCCGTGGGAGCCGAACATACACCCCTGACCTCCGGCTGCAGCCCAGCAGGAAGGGGCCTGGTTAAGACAGAGAAAATGGGACACAGGGGCTCCTAATGTGGTCCCCAAATGTCCAGGGTCCGGTAAAAAGTAACACTTGTATATCGGAACCAGGGAAAATGAAAACATGAAGAAACCAAGAAATTTACTGAAACCAACGCAGAGAAGCCTGAGATCATTAAATTCAATGAAGGATGTTTAAGGAAAAATCATAAAATCCATGTAACAAGCAACTACAGACATTTCTTGGAGGAATTGAAAAAGGAGAGAAACTCAAACACAAATAGATGTGATAAAAGACACTGAATGGAAGTGAAGGGCTAACAAATACCTTAGATGAAATTTTATAAACTTAAGGAGGGATCAAGAATACATAAGGTTTATGGATTATTTTGTTCATTTGTTGTTATATGTTTATAGATTGTTTGGTTCTTTGTTGAAATGAAGGAAGGGCTATGATTCCTACTGCAGAGCTCCCACTGCCAGGAAGTGTCCGTGGAGGACGCTGGCTTTTCTCACAGCTGCAAGGCCGGAAACTATCCCAGAGGGTTCTAATTCAATGGTCCCCGCACCCCTGTTCATGGCCTGAGTTAGGGGTGACAGCAGGTGCTTCCTCTCAAGGGACAGGCTCAGAGCTCACAACCAGCCCAGGCTTCTCCTGAGAAGAGAACTATAAACTGGGCCCAGGATCCTGCATTCGATGGTCGTGCGGGCTCACGTTTCCATAATACCCCAGCAAACACACCCTCCACTCAGGGAGCTGAGGAAGAGAAAAAGGGGCAACCCAGAGACCTGCACCAGCCTGAGGCCTGGGGATCGTGGAAAGTCTCCGCCATGACCTGGACTCCGCTCTGCCTTTGCCCCCCTCCTCACCCTCTGCCCAGGTCCATGGACACTCCAGAGACCAGCCTTTGGAGGGGTCCCTCTGCCTTTATTCTTCCTTCCTGACATGTGTCTGTTATTATTTCAGGGTCCAGCTCTCAGACTGTGGTGACTCAGGAGCCCTCACTGACAGTGTGCCCAGGCGGGACAGTCACTCTCACCTGCGGCTCCAGCCCAGGAGCCGTGACCAGCAATAACGATCCACACTGGTTCCAGGAGAAACCTGACCAAGTCCCATGACATGGATTTATAACACAGACAATACACTCTCCTGGACCCCAGCCCATTCTCAGGCTACACTCACGGGGACAAAGCTGCCTTGACCCTTCGGGGGCCCAGCCCGAGGACGAGGCCGTGCGCTACTGCTGGCTGGGGCGCAGCGGTGCACGGCCCAGGGAGACACCCGGACGGGGACCAGACAGAACCCGGGCTGCACCGAGTGGGCCAACTCACACGCCCCCTGTGATGTTGGCGTCACGTAACCGGGCTCATAGGGAGAGTAAGGGAGGCGTCCGAATGGATTCCATTATGTTTGATCCCTAACATGGTGGGGATCTATGAGCAGCTGGTCCACATAAAGCACAATCGACTCACTTTATTTCACAGAAGAAAGAAAAAAGTCAATGAGGCTCAAAGCTGGTTTTCTGGAAAGATCAGTAAACCCCTGGCCAGGCTGACCCAGATCAATAGAGAGAAGGCAGAATGATCAACAGCAGAAATTGCAGAGGGGACATCAGCACCGATCCCTCCCACGTTAAAGGGAAATAAGGAAATTCTACCTACAACCCTATGGCCATAAATGGGACAACTGAGATGTAATGTATGAAATCCTCAATGGTGCAAACTACAAAACAAAAGCTAAA